AATTTAACCACGTTTTGTATGATTTCACTAAGACTGATATATCTACCAATACTGAACGCTTTTTGTTTCGTAAAGCGAGGGAGAGTTCAGTTTCAGTTTGGAAAGGACAGGAGGCTTGATGGTCTGTGTTATTCCTGGCAACACTGGTCTATCAGCTGATCCAACTTTCTTTCGGATGAGTCAACTGATGGAGCCTCAACCACGTGCTGAGGTAATGAATTCCACTCGTTGATGATTCGATGGGAAAGTCGATTGTCAGCTGACAAGTAATTTGTTCTTGGCTTGTGAACTTTTTCGGAGTGTCCTCGTAAATTCTCTGTTTTGAAAGACAAGAAAAATGAGGGCATATCCGGTGCGAATTTGAAAGCTGTAATCAAGTCGCCTCTAATTCTGCGATATGACAACGGGGAAAGGTTCAGCTTGGCCAGTCGAGAATCATACAGAAGCTTCACTATTCCAGGAATCAGCTTAGTTGCCGTTCTCTGAACCTTTTCCAGAAGCCCACTATTTTTTTTAAGCAGGGGCTAGCCGCTTGTATGCAGTACTCAAATTTAGGACGTATGAACACTGTATACAAAAGCCAAAAACGTCTTAGCGTCGGCATGACTAAAAGCCCTACGTATTGACCATAAAGTTCTAAAATTTTTGACGGCTATTGCACGGCAGTAGTCTTTAAGTCTTGACTAACGATAACTCCTAAGTCATTATGTGTCTGGACGACAGGTAGCTCAGTGTTATTCATCGTGTATGTATCTGTATCTTGATGACCGATATGCATCACAACACACTTGGAAGTATTTATCGGCAACTGCCATGTTTGAGACCATTCAGAAAACTTCTTCAGGTCATTTTGAAGTTCTAAGCTATCACTCTTACATCGTATCGTTCTCCATATCTTGACATCGTCAGCATATAGCAAGACCGATTATGATAGGAGACAAGGAAGGTCACTTACATACAAGAGGAATAGCACTGGCCTCAAAACTGTGCCCTGGGGCACTCCACTAAGCACAGTTTCCCAGCTAGATAACTTTGAGTTCACCCTTACTCTTTGTTGACGCCCAACTAAGAAGTCTTTTATCCACACCAATAGATAGTCTCCAATCCCGACTTTTCTTAACTTATATAACAGCCGGTTTTGCGGATCTTTGTCAAAAGCTTTGATGAAATCAATGAAGGCTACGTCTACAGGTGACTCTTGGTCCTTAAGAGCGCACCAACTTTCACGAGCCACCAATAAGTTAGTGAGACAAGAGTAACCTATTCTGAAACTGTGCTGCTTCTTCGAAAAAATCCGGTTTTTATCGAGATACTTAAACAGCTCCTTCCGAATAATCTTTTCTAAGATTTTAACAACCACACTAGTTAGGCTAACGGGGCGGTAATTCTCAGGTTTGTGTTTCGTACCTGTTATGAAGACATGACTTACTATGGCGTTTTTAAAGTTTTTCGGTAAATCACCCTGCGTAACGGATAGGTTAAAGCATGTACTTAAAGGGCTTGCATCGAAGTTAGATAATTCCTTCAGTAGCCTGGAATGTAATTCATCAGGTCCCGTGGATTTACCTATGTCAAGCTTATTTAGTAGACCAAAGACATCGAGTTCTTTAACGGTCACGCTATCCAGTGTATGTGTGGGGGAATCTGTATGCACTGTCGGGAAGGGTGCTTCTATAGTATATACGTTGCTAAAGTAGTTCGAGAACACTTGGGCCTTACCAAAGTCGTCCTCCACTCTTTGTCATTTGGTTTATATAGGAATACAAACGCTTAGGACATTCTATGGATTCGTTAACAATTTTTTCTTCGTACAACTTTCTGGACTTACGGAGGGTCGAGGCTTAGGTATTCCGAGCTTTTCGATATTGAGGTTTTGTCTCATCAGTTCCCAGTAACCTAAATATATCCCACATCTGTCTTCTCTTACGGGGAGGGATATGGACCTCCCTACTGAACCATGGTGGGCAGTTTCTCGGCCCTCTTGGTATAGTCCAAGGGATGTGAAGTGTGGTAACTTTTAAGTAGGAATTTTGAAATGCGTCTATTGTTCAATCTACTAACGATGCTGAGTGCATGATATCTGGTATGTTTGCTTTCCATACGTTAGGTCTGGATTGACCCAACGCGTGCTCGTGACTGACAGTTATATGGAAGTCGAAAGTTAAAACTGTGTGATCACTTTTACCTAGGGGTGGCATTTAATGGAGGTTCGCAACGTCATCCTCATAGTGATTCAATATAAGATCTACTAAGAATGATTTGAAGTCCGAGTCATACCTAGTTGCTTCTTTCACATGCTGGACTAGGGCACATGTGATAACCCTATCAACTAGTTCCTGCTCGAAGGAATTATCTGACGATTCGGTTCGCAAATTTTCCCAGTCTACCATAACTGCATTAAAGTCCCCTAGGATTAGACATCGAGCACTTTGTGACCAAGCATTGAGACTGCTTAGCAGGACCTCATTTGCATCACAGCTTGGACTGCGATAGACAAAATCAATCAGCAGCTCTTGTCCCTTGTATTTCAGGCGGCAACTAACTAATTCACACGTCCCAGTCACATGGAATACACTGACGATAATGGCGAATGGGATAGCATTCCTAAAGAATAGAGCTACTCCCCCTCCTTTACGCTTTCGCATTCTGTCGACCCTTACTAACGTAAAACCTTCGAAATCAAGTTCCATACTATATATAGACTGTGTCAGCCAGGTTTCTGTGACTGTGATTATGTCAAACTTTGTAGAGTAAGTCTGTACACCTAGTTCCGATCGCTTATTGAGTAAGCTTCGGACAATAGTGTAGCAGATCCGAAGTCCATTTGAGTGACTTCATGATTCACCCATAGCGGCTTCGGGATCATTCTCTGTCGAAGCCTTACAACCCGGAACATTACAATTTTTATGTCCTTTTCGCCAGCCTCTGACCTAAGTTGTGGTTCTTTTTCGGCTTACTGTCTTTTTACGCGGTTTGCCAGTGGCCAATCCTTACGGATAAAAACTCCTGAACCCTTTCATTCATGTCCATTCTGTAAAATTAAGTCGCGTCCGTTCGAAGATTTGAATGCTACTTTAAGCAGTCTGGATTGATTAGGCTTCAAGTTCGCTTGGCTACCTAGTCTGTACACCTTGAGCACGGTGACTCAGGTGATATTCTGAGGCATGAATTGATTAAGTAGCTGTTTTTTCAGCACAATGTCATGCTCAAAACGAGTTTGCGGTTTAGAGCTTTCACACTTTTTGATTCTATGAAAAATAACTGATCTGTCACTGTGATCAGCCTTCCATTTCTCGACTACTTTTGTGGGGGAAGGATTCCCTTTTATATCTTTATGTTGTTTCTTCCTTACAACCTGTACTCATTCGCCAACGTTGCTTTGAGAAGCAACCACAGTCGCGTCAAACATATTGCGGGACTCTGGAGGGTTGTCGACGACACGTGAGGTCAGGTTATTTTTCCCGCTAGAAACCGATCGAGCCTTGAGATTGCGGCTTCTAGGCGTTTCCTGTTGGATACTATTTAGAAGACGGGAGACAGAAGAAACTTCTTTTCTTGAGCTTTCAGTTAACACAGACCTCTTCGAAGACTGATTTTCCTTCTTCGGTAGGTGTAGGTCAGCTGTTTTCGAACTCACCTGAGTTTGCTTCACACCAATTTGCGTGTCGATAGAGCGAGTGTAACAGCATAGGTTGGCTGGTTAAGAGTTCACCTCAAACAACTAAGCATATGTCAAAACAGTATAGTTCAATTGTTCATTCACTTTCTTATTTTGCATTGGCGTTATATTTCTTATTATCTTATATTGAATGTTAAGAGGCTTTGTTTGTCTGAACAAATAATCCCACGCTTCACTGTGACTGCACGACGATCAAAATAAGGACCTTTTCACTACTTGTTTGTTTTTTTCTACCAATAGCACGAGGGCTACCCAGAGGCACGAAACGAGTATTGTCCGATGTGTCCTGACCACGCCGGTCAAAACACTTTTTTGCAGCATTTACCAATGAGATGGCCTCCGTTGGCAAGCTGTTTGCATCCGAACAGAACTGTTGACAAAGCAATACCGTGGTGTTTGAATTAACTAGTGATTCTTTTGTACTTGTTGAATGCTTGATTTGGAATTCAAAATACAATACATTCGTTTGTGCTCATCTAGTACTTCTTGATTCAATTGCGTTGTTTCGGGGATTCTTAGTTCATACCACAATTCAAGTAATTAGAAATACTAGACACACACAACTGCTTTTACTGAACCGTTTTAGAGCCGCAATCGTTAAATTCGTGCAAACTTCGTGAAACCAGCCTTTGCACTCATCGCACCGCATGACACTTTCAACAGGATAACGACAGCCCAGACGTTGGCGATTGCTTTTTGCACTGTCCAGTCATTAAACAGGGATCTTTTTCAAAAAATGAACTAGATGCAATAATACTTAGAGACAAAAATGATCTATGACCAAGAAAAATGGAAAACTGTAGATTGTTAGAACCAAAAGTACTAACAGACACAATAGAAAAAAAAGTAATCAAAAAAACCGACGACAAAGTACTTTAGAAACAGAAACGATACTTTAATCGAATACTTTGACTGAAATAAATTAAATTAAAATGAAAACAGTAGTCTTGACACGTAATTAACGATCAAAACAATAGAATTTACTCAGCGAGGAAAAATACCACTGTCCTTTTAATTAGCGCTCACGGAGAGAGTAAGAGCATGATTTACATTGGATAGTTCACTTCGTTCATCTAAATCTATCTTTTATGGACACACTTTTATTACGATTTTGAATTTGTCGGACTAAAATAGCAAACAAATATAAAGTTTGTGCCTGAAATGTTATTCACAAAAAATTTATGCTATTTCGTTCGGAATTTAATCCATAAGTGTATGAAATTACGTTACATTTTTTATTCAGTTTGTTTATTGAACGTTAGAAACGAAGTGGACTACAGATTTACGGTTGTTTACTTTTTTTTTTAAATGTTTGAAATAACAAATGCAGTGACCTTAGCTAGTTAATGTAGTCTGGGAGTTTCAAAACTCGCAGATTATGGGGGTTTCTCCGGTTCTGTACTCTCATACTTGAAGTATGACAAACCAGAAACTAAATGAGGTTAGAAACACGTATTGTATTTTTTCGGGTGTTTTTCACGCAATTTAGTGTCTTGTTTTTTACTGAGGTAAGATAACTTAGGCTCTTCTACAAACGCCCTTAACTGTTATCATAAGGTATATTATTGTCTGGTCTCTTCGAATAATTCAAGTTGTTTTGTGCTGCTGATAAATTTAGTTTTTTTAAGTAACGACGTACAATTTTCACCTACACAGATTACTGCACATAGTACAAAAAGCCATTTTCTAGCTATCATATAGTTATAGATATTTTCGATTTGGAAGTGGAAGTTTTTAATAATAGTGATTATTTCCTGTAGATATTGCAGTACCGCACATGTGGTGTCCGGATGTAACTATAGCATCTGTATTAATTAACAATTGTCTCATACTCACTTAGACGGTTAAAGGATGTCTAACAGTTTTTACAGCAAGTTTTTCCCCACAGATTAATTGCCACATAGAACCATCTTGTCAGCATATCTTACCAAGAACAACACGTAATGGAACGTACAGATTCTTTAAGGTTTTTCAGAATTCGGAAATCATAGCATTATCTAGTCGTAAATGCCATGTACCAAATTAATTCAGGACGTGAAAGGTATAGATATCTTATTTTTCATGTTATAGGCATAGTTATTGGTGCAACTAACTTTCAACTATCAATTTCGCACTATGCATCAATTATTTCGCTCTATTATATCTATTATCACCACCTCTCACAAAGCTTTTGTTGCAAGTCAGTGGTATTGATGTCCTTTCAATTACTCAGTTGTATTAAAATTGGATGATTGAAGTATTGGTTGCTGATTAAGTCTCACAATCATTCTGCTACAAACGGCGTCCGCAAATAATTTAATTCATGTACGCTTTATATTTATGGCTCAACTCACACAGTTCTTTCGGTCTAAGTTGCTGTTCTTTACGTCAGCGCATATCGTAAAAATTAGTGAAACTCAAAGACCTGTAACCATTGTCTCGTGGATCGTAAAAATTTAAACATGGCAGAGTAATATGATGTATGAAATTGCATTGTAACTCGACTTTCGTAAGAATAAGGTAAAGAAGTGCATTCTGACTACTGAGTTCGATTGTGAATCATCTCACTTAAGTACGCTAAGAAGTGCATGATGTTGTGGTCTGCACATTTCGACGTCATTTAGTCCAGCAGTGTGATCTTATAAATTATTCACATGTTTTCGCTTCGTCGCTTCCCAACCTCATAATCCCATCATCATTGAAGATCGATGTAAAGGGTGTTTAGGCATGCATTCACTACCTTATTGACCAATTCTATTTATCTATATAGTAAATTACACCCAAACTCATAATTCCTAACTTGATGGTTCCATTGTAGAAGAGCAATGGGTCCAAGCCAATCGTAATCGGGTAGTTTACACTGATGTCTAGAAGTCAAGAATGTAAGGAGGATCGCAAGAGACCATTTCTGGAGATAGAAATTGCACAATATTGCTACTCTCGTTGTGGACCTTTGACTCATTTCAAGAAATACATCTTCCTTCAGCTTGTATTTTCACTATTATTAAACTGAGACTCAACCGTAGCCACTAACTTGACATAATGATCGGGCTTAGATATCTTAACGAACCAGTCAAGCTCTAACGGCTGAAACACATTCATTCCTGGAAGGTTGGTTGGAGTTCTGTAAAACTGAGCGCAGTCCGATAGCGAAGTTTTTCTGATGACTATAGAGTGCTGTGATAAAAGTAAGGTGTTTCCCTCTCAAAGGGAAGGAAGGAGTTTAAAAATGTTATTCCTCACCCTAATCCACACCCCTTTATAAAGTACGGAGCTGGCATGTCAAGGACTCATCACACAAACTCCGTGGATGATCGGCCTCATGAAGTTACTCCTTGAGTTCTGCAGTCACACCTTGATCAATAAGATCACTATCAACCTAGGTTTTTTCCAGATCTCTCAACGTAAGTCTCCTACGATGTGGGCAACTGTAAAGTGACAACTCTCATTTCTCTAATATCATACGAGATTACCGAGTTCATAATCAAACCCAATCTTCATCACCAAATATTACTCCTACTCCCATTATCAACCCCCATTTATCTCTGAATTCTTCAGTATGTACCACCAATGATAGTAGTACACATTCACAATATACTATCTCGGGCCTCCTGAATCCACGATCTGAACAACATTTTGGAGTGTTCTGATGTCTGAACCGTAAGTCAAGTCGGACAACGGACTTCACTGAATGAGACCCTAGAATCAAATGAAAGCTCTCTATCCATGTACTAATGATCAGGTCAGAGCTTATGGTTAGCTATTAACAGAACTGTCAACTTCAAGTGGGGTTGTTCAGGACTAATCCCCTTCCAGTTGGTCTGCTTTTCGATGATATAGTTCTGTTTGGTAAAGCTTCTGATAAAATGAAATTTTTCGCCTTGAGCAATGATACAACCATGTTTGGGATGTCCTAATAAATGCAAAATGCTGTTTCAGGACTGGTCTACCTCGATCTCCGAACTAGTGACAGAGAGTGAAGTAGATGAGCGCGTTGACTGTCTCACTTATCTCGGAAGTCTGACCAACCTCAAAAGGTTGGTGTTAGCGGGACATAGACTGGATTAAAGCATGCTCAATGCACGATTGCTTTAGTGCACACTGATTGGATAAGAATTAGCCAATCAGCACTTGCCGATACTTGGAGAATACTTTGGAATCTTCTCATGTAAAAACTATAAATTTACTAACATTTTCCCTATTGTGCTTCTTACTTCCATCTAACCTTGTTATTTGGAATATAATCTCTTTCCTGTTCAACCGTGTTCTGATTTGGGGACTTGTCGAGTGAATCGGTGTCCGAGAATACTAAGCAATAGGAATAGCCGGTTCATAACCTTAAGAAAGAGATTATAACAGTTGGTGTCTGATGAAATCTCTAAACGGGTTCAGTAAAGCTAGTTGGGATTTGGCAACTTTCATCAGTTGTTGGGTTAGTGAGATATCCGTCTGCTAACCAAACGGGGTGTATGCTGCACAGCGAACCGCCATGTTCTACTTCATAAGTATGACACATGTTCTGAGAAAGTAAAAGACTCACATAGGCTGTAAATTTGTGATCATAGGCATCTTCAAAGAGTTATTGGTGCTAATTGGAATGATCTAATGAGCAATGTTAAGATTTGGCTTAGAAATAACTGACAATGTTGGTTGATGTGTTGATGAGGTAGGGAAACTTGATTGAAAAGTGACTGGAATGTGTTGTATATGTTAAACCACGTCATACCTTGATGATTGATGCTTGCTAGTGCAGAAGTGGTTTGCAAGAGAGTTAAATGCCGAAAATGAAACGTGGCATCAGTCCATGAAGTCAGCCCCCAAATGCCCTGGTATGGTCGAGAGCGGGGTGGGTCCGCCCTCCCTCTCGAAATACTCTCACACGGCCACGCGTATACAGCCTCTGTCAGGGAAGTCCTACTCACTGCCTTCTCGCACCACAGGTGTTGTTTACGAAAATGAGAGGACGAAAAGCGAATGTCCGGCGCCTTAACCGGATCCCAAATCAATGGTGTACATGGGCTCCAGTATCCTGTGGGAATGAATGGCATATGAACCAATTCCTTGGTCACCGGCTACCATGGGACTTCATCTCACGATGTTCCACTGCCTTGTGGGTTAGACCTTTAGGTCAAAGGCTCGGGGTGTGGCCCCCTAAGAAATCCACCTGCTTCGGTTTGGGCACCCGGGCAGTATCTCAGCCCGCACACAAAGACATGATAAACTGTCTACTTATGAAAAATATTCCTCTCGCCCCAAATAACAATCAAGTGACTCGCATTATTATTATTATTATTATTACTATTATTATCTACTACATCACTATTCACCCCCTTTTATTGCCACTCTGTTCATACTTATTTGTTCGATTTATACAGCAGCTCACCTATGGTAGAAATTCGGCTCTATTTAAACATTCTCGAGTCACTGCCTGGTTGAAAATTTATGTTATCACTGAATATGAGTACTGAAGCAGTGTTTCTGAAACCACCTGCACCATTCAAACTGACTGCCTTCAACGTTAGCGCACCTATGCAGGTCAGACAACAGATAGGACTAGCTATGTCTTTAGAAAGTCTTAATATCGATGTTTGTTGTCTATCCGAGACCCGTATTCAAGACTCTGATGAAGTACTACAAATTCGCTCTCCATCTGTCACTTCAAAAAGTTTGTTTTACGTGCGTTTATCCGAGGACCCTGTGGCATCTTCGTCTGGCCTTGCTGGCGTTAGTGTCGCACTAAGCGCTAGAGCTGAGGCAACACTAATCGATTGGATTCCCATTAACAGTCGGTTATGTGCTGTTAGATTAGACAGTTCCATCAAAGTGAGAAGAAATCGGCGTGAGAAACGACGTCTTCTCATAATCTCCGCCTATGCCCCGACAGATTGCAGCCCGGATGCAATCAAGGATGAGTTCCACCGCCAGTGAACTGTTCTTCTCCAGAAAGTGCGTTCGACAGATGTTGTAGTACTAGCCGGAGACTTGAATGCTCAGGTTGGGCGTCTAGGCACAGAAGAGAGTCGTTTAGGTGGCCGATGGGGACTCGTTGGTCGCAGGACAGATAACGAGAACCGTCTACTGCAACTGTGCACAGACCACAACCTGTTTCTGGCTAGCACTAACTTTCGGCACAGTCATCGCCGATGTGCCACCTGGCGTCCTCCCTCTGCATCTCAAGCCTGGACTCAGATTGATCACATCGCGATCAGCTACCGCTGGCGTGGTTGTGTACAAGACTGCCGCTCCTTTTGGAGTACCTATCTGGACTCTGACCATGCCTTGGTCTGCGCCAATCTTGCCTTACTTTTCAGTGGACAACGAAGTGACCGCCATCAACGGATTGATATTAGCAAGCTGGTTGCAACTTCTGTTGCAAGTAAGTATCGAACCGAGCTAGCCTCTAGGCTAGCTACCACTCCACCGAAAAGTATAGATGAGCATTGGTTGCAATTGCATGACGCCATGAAAATGACGAGTAAATTCACTTACAACTCATTGAAGCCCGTCGGTCTACTCCGGGTGACCGTGAGTTTGACCATAAACGAAGGATGTTACGTAAGGAAATTGGGCAAAGCTTGCGTAAGGACCGAGAAGCCTGGTGGTCGAAGCGTGCTAATGAGCTGGAAGCAGCAGCTGCATCTGGTAACTACCGGAAGCTCTTCCAGCTCATCCGAGCCACTGGCAGCAAGAAGTCTGGTGTGAGTGAAACAATCTGCGAGGATGATGGGATGCCAATCACTAACATCCATCGACGTCTTGGACGATGGGCAGAATTTTTCGAAGGGCAGTTCAACTGGCCTGCTGCTCCGGCAACATCGGTCAGACTGTCCTGCCCTCCATGGCCGGTGACGACTGATCCACCAAATGAGGAGGAAGTCCGCAAGGAACTCCAACTCTTGAAGCGTTACAAATCACCTGGCCCAGATGACTTACCTCCGGCTCTTTTTAAAGATGGTGGTGACTTTTTGACTAAGGAATTGACGACGTTGTTTACAAAGGTTTGGGAACTAGAGAGTGTACCAACGTCATGGAATGAGTCGATAGTTGTCCCTATCTTTAAAAAGGGTTCACGTCGTTCCTGTAACAACTATCGGGGGATAAGTCTACTTCCGATTGCGTCCAAGCTATTGGCTTCCGTCATACTTCGTAGGTTGTTCAAAACCCGAGAAAGATTGACTCGCGAGGAGCAGGCTGGGTTTCGTTCTGGTCGAGGATGTATTGATCATATCTTCACCCTCCGCCAAATGTTAGAACACCGCCATACTTATCAAAGGCCAACAATCGTAGTGTTTCTTGACATCAGGGCTGCCTTCGATTCGTTGGACAGGACTGTTCTCTGGGATTGTCTATTGAAGAAGGGTGTGCCTGAGAAGTTTATTAACATCCTAAAAGCCCTATATAAAAACACCTCAGGCAGAGTGAGGGCATACAACCACCTCTCTCCATTGTTCCATTCGAGCAGTGGGGTTAGGCAGGGTTGCCCAATCTCACCATTCCTCTTCAACTTTGCCATCGATGACATTCTGGAAACAGCTCTGATGAATGTAAGTAATGGTGGTGTGGATCTGTTGCCTGGAGAAAGACTTCTCGACCTTGAGTATGCGGACGATATTGTCTTACTGTGCGATAATGCCCAAGGCATGCAATCCGCACTTAATCAGTTGGCAATCAGTGTCCGTAGGTATGGTATGTGCTTTGCACCTTCGAAGTGCAAAGTACTTCTACAAGACTGGCAGGATTCCAATCCTGTACTCACCCTGGATGGTGAGCAGATAGACGTAGTCGAGAAGTTCGTGTATCTGGGTAGCTGCATAAGTGCTGGTGGGGGTGTGAGTGATGAGATCAATGCACGTATAGTGAAAGCCAGAGCGGCTTATGCCAATCTGGGCCACCTTTGGCGCCTTCGTGATGTTAGTCTGGCTGTAAAAGGTCGGATCTACAACGCGTCGGTGAGAGCAGTTTTGCTCTATGCTTGTGAAACCTGGCCTCTCCGAGTTGAGGACGTTAGACGACTCTCTGTGTTCGATCATCGCTGTCTCCGAAGGATTGCTGACATTCAGTGGCAACACCATGTCAGTAATGCAGAGGTTCGGCATCGTGTGTTCGGGCACAGAGATGATAATTCAATTGGTGTCACCATCTTGAAACACCGACTTCGGTGGCTTGGACATGTTCTCCGAATGTCGTCCCAGAGAATTCCACGTCGTGAGATTAGATGGTGGTTGGAGGTAGTCAACAGGAAACCCTGGACCCGGGTTTCGTGCTACTTGGCACTCGTCAGCAAGGTGTACCTGTAATCTTGAGGGAACTGGTGCTCCCTGGCGGATTCGATCTCGTGTCACCCAGCTTCACAGTCAGAGACGTTACCACTGAGCTATCCGAGCCGTGACTAACCTCCTGTAGGACTGAGATGTAATCACAATTGATTGATCACTGGGTGGTGATCAATGTCATGCTTGTCTAGTCCTTATTAGTGCAGATCGAATGCTACCGATCATGTTGCAATGTGGCCACCAGTCTAGGTGACTCGACACTCAAGACATAGTGCCCGCAGTGTCGAGTCACCTAGACTGGTGGCCACATTGCAACATGATCGGTAGCATTCGATCTGCACTAATAAGGACTAGACAAGCATGAGATTGATCACCACCCAGTGATCAATTAATTGTAATTCCACGTCGTGCATTATTTGCCGACTCTGGGACTGGTTGGAAGAAGCGGAGAGGTGGTCAGTGCATGACATGGTGTCGTGGTATGAAAGAAAGCTGCAAAGGACTGGCTTCTGTCGGTCCTTCACGACTCCCTGGTTGGGGTCTGAGAGATGGTGCTACACAGTGGCTAGAGACATTATCAGATATGACTCAGAACAAAAGTCAGTGGCGATCCTGCTGTACCCTTCTTTTACTTTCTTCGTAAAAGGTGGTTGCTTCTTCCTTAACTGAAAGATTTCTTCTGATTGTACCTTTTCTTTTCTTCCATTATTATTATTATTATTATTATTATTATTATTATTATTATTATTATTATTATTACGCTACATTATCTTATTCTGTTCGTTATTATTCTTTTTTTACGCTCCTCACCTTTTTCCCCTTCTCTTCAAATTCCCATTGTTTTGTGTGGCGCATATATATTTGGTTCCCTCTTGTACCAATATTTATGTGTTCAAATAAAATATATAATAAAAATGAAGTCACTGACTATGTTGGTAGATCCAGACTACTCAGTTGGAGTCCACGTTATAACCACTATTAGTGGTCAAAGGTTTTGGTTAGCACTTCAGTCGTTCACGAAAACGCATATGCATTCGCTGTTTATTTTTCTCTGTATCTGAAATTGCCACATTTTTCCGTCCAAACTTTTTCACTTTGTGCTTTTAAACCGTGGTCACGAAACCTGTTCTTTTTATGATCGCTACTACATTACTTCGATCTCTTGTTATTTTCACCTCGTGCTAATTAAGTATAATAACTTGAGGCAACTCATATTTGTGTTGGGCTCCATGTTGATAGTGTCTGTCTGTATGATCACATTAAAAATTAGGTTGCACGGTATATAACTTATTTACCATATTGTCGGTTTTCAAATACTTGTTATTTATTCTATTTTAGAGTGTGGTCTGTAAATTTTGTGAAGGGTACTATGACTTCGGTAGTGAGCAACCAGTGTGCTCATCTTGCCATGCTTTCATTTATGAGTTTAGTTTACCACAAATGACTGAAAATCGTTTATTTGAAGAAAAAGAAGCATCCAATGACAGTGGAAATGAAGAACCAGATAAAGGATCAGATTTATTTGCAGCTGCTTGGAATTCTCCCACTTCAGAAGTCACTTCACAAGATCATGTGCTTGTCAAATCTCGGCCGTCTAGTGCTCGAATTTTTCCAGCTACATGTCCCCTACAACAATCTCATGTTACTACATCCTATGCAAATTACCCTGTAATTGATTACCTATCACCTGTTTCCAATAGGAAGATCAAATCTTGTAGTTCATGCATGTCTCCGAGCCTTGAGGATCTTCCAACTGAAATTTTACTGCGTGTTTTTCTCATGGTAGATGACATATGTTTGTGGTCTCTACGTCAAGCGTCACCCAGATGTCGTGCAGTAATCGATAGTGAGATATCAGAACAACAATGGGAGTCCTATGTATCATTTCGATGGCCACTCTTTAATCCTAATTGCCGAGTTGAAAGTTGGAGGCTTCTTTATCTCAATATGATGGAGAGTGTTACTTGTAGATTTTGTTTAGAACGTTTACGCTTACCAGTTGTATTCCCAATCGAAGCTCCAAAAGTTCGATATAAACGAATTAAACATGAATTTGAAAACCTATGTGCTGATCCACCTTACGGCATAAAAATTATTACTTTAGATACGGCAACATATTCTCACTTTCTGGCTGGAATCGAAGGTCCACCGCAGTCCCCATATCAAGGTGGATTTTTTCACGTTCTTATTCTCGTTCCTGATAGTTATCCTTTTCGACCACCTGTAATACGTTTTCTTACACGTATATTGCATCCGAACATCAGCTTTCATGGTGATGTCGGATTGGATTCAATCAGGCATAACTGGTGTTTAGCATTGAGTTTAGAGAAGCTTTTAATTAGTATTTTAGCCCTTTTAACTGATCCACATACACGTGTTTGTATGGAACCAGTAATTGGTGCTTTGTATGATTGGGATAAGTATCAGTTCGAAGAATTAGCAAAATTATGGACGTGGAAATTCGCTTGTCACGATTATTTATCGGCTGATTTTGTGTCCGCAATGGTTCTCCCTGATTATATTGAACAAACTCATCAACGTCTTAACTGTAAACAAATAAGATAGCTGAAGATGATTCATCACGGTTCGATACGGATATAAACGTGGTGTTATTTCAAATCAATAAAGCATTCATTTTGTAATTCTACCAATACTTTATGCTCATTATGGTTATCAGTTTTGTTTGCTATGCATGCTTATGTTGTCGTCTTTACATGGATGTAAATAGTGGCATGTCATTTGATCAAATGGTTAATATTCCACTTTTATATGTTCACATTGTATAAGTTCACTAAATTGAACAACCCATTAACAGATTCAAGGATAAAAGGTCATATTATTCTCATGGGAATAAATTATAATCTGTAAGTTTTATTTTCGTTTTATCATAAAATGTATGGTGATGAGTAATAAGACTATTACATATGTAGCTTTCTCCTGTAAAGACTTTGTCATTCAAAAGGATTATTTTCCTTGACTGAAGCTGGACAAACCACAACAAGTAATTGTTTCATTATAAATGTGAAACTTTTCATAAATTCCATGTCCAATACCCGCTGTTTATGTTTAAGTTTTTCAATATCAATCTCTTTATGACAAGAAGCATCTCGTCTATTTTACTTTTCATCGCAAATACTTCGTTTGAGTGATTACTTTCATCATTTTTTGCATTTACTAATTTTTTAGTGTTTGTTAACTTCTAGCTTTTGTGTATTATTTATTTAGTCTTCTATAGAGAGAACATGTGGGTATTTTTTAAAGTATTTTCGTTTCTCCGATTTACAGCATATATCAGTGATATTCTTATATTTGTTATTCTAAAAGATGTATTGAAATATTTTTTAATAAGAAATTTCTCACGCATTATGTGTTGGATTTCGCTATTTTTTTGTTTTATTCTGATGAGATCTAACATAACTACTAATTGACATCATCTTGTACACAATCACACTCGGATATATTTGCCATGCTCTTTATTAATTCTGTTTCGTTGGTTTAACAATATAAATCTATCTTTTTTTCTTGATTTCGTTGATATTATTTTGAACAGCCAAAGAAATTATCCCTTATTAACACCTTCTTTCAAAGGATGAGATGAATACTTTTTACTCACACAATATAAAATTTCATCATTTTCATCTTTAGCTAACTAATATAATATAAAGCAATTTCGGTAAGACTATAATTTATTGATGAACCAATTAGTATAAAATAACAGGACTTGGATTTTGTCGCGAAATTCATTCGTCCATTTGGCTAAATAACGTTTTGGCATTTTAGCTAACGTTGGTTCGTAGTGAAAACTTTAAATATAAATCATAACCCTAACCATTGACTGTAAATTATAAATCTGATTTCTCACAACCCTCATGTGGTCCTAGTTAGTAGGTGGATATCCCCAAGGTCACTTCGGCGTCGTCCATAAACTATATTCTCACCGAAATTTCTACTACGTAGGCAAGAGCCCTTAATTATTTCATAGGCATTTGATTAACATCTCAACTATCATCCGCCTTTTGGGAACGGATAGATGTTTAATTGAATGAGTAAATCCTTTTTATTACTTTCAATGTATTTGATTTCAAAGAATTTTCCAAATCTTAAAAATAACTTTAGTTCATCAAATTGAATTATAATTTCGATCAATGCAACTGGGACTTATCAAAAAATTAAACTTTTGTTACAAGTAGGTATCATTACCAAGGTTTGATCTGATAATTTCGAATAAATTGAGCATCGGGTAGATTGTCATAAATCAATAATATATTTATAATGTCCCAGTAGCTAAGTGGATAACGCGATGGCGTTTGAAGCGAACGGTACTGAGTTCGAGTCCCAGATTGAACATCAACTCTGAGATGCAGGTACATCCAGCTGACGAGTCCCAAACAGGACGAAACGCGCGTCCTGGATTCCACTGCTAGCCACTATCCATCTTTGCTTATAATGCTCGTAAATCAAGGCAATATCGAGGCATACGCACAGTATGCACATATGCCAATAAGAGACTGATCAATTTCAGTCCTTAAACATCAATGGGAAGATTCAAGTTAAACAACTTCAAGTGAATGTCCCAATGAGTAGAAAAAATAGATTTTATGACGTTTCGTGACTTAGTGTAAGCCACTTCTTCAGAGAATAAATAGCCAAATTAAAATTAAGTGGAAATAGTACAACGGAACAACACGAATATTATGTGACCAATCAAAAAACAGGTCTGAAAAAATCAATCAATGTCAGATCATTTCGGTCAAGGTGATTCATAAGCGACATGTATGTAAATTTGTGTATGTATGTGTGCATGTAAGGATGAAAATTGTGTGACATTTATGGTGAGGAAGGATAGAGTTTAATTTGTGAGATAATAGTGTGAATTGTAAATAACATCAGACTAGGTGGCTGGTATAGATAGTCCAAGTAGGATGTATGGTAAGACCTGAGAGAAGTAGGATTAAGCATTATATGGAACGCTTCAGCTACTCTCCTCTCTTTGTAATTGGAAAAGCCTTTTTGAAATATTTTGATATTTTTAAAATCAATTCGTTGAAAGATGAAAATGGCATGAACTGCTATTACCGACTTAATTTGAAGTCTATCCAGTTCCACGAGATTATTAGGAGATTTCTTTGTGTACCTGATATGTTCCTTAGCACGAGTCAAGATTTCTCGAGATGACTCTCCAATATAGAAGGCATCACAATCGACACAACTGAGTTTTTTTTATTGAGATCATGAACCGATTGATGTTAGACCACCACAATTGAAAACCTGGAAGCACTGGATGGCCGTTTCGTCCTATCGTGGGACTCCTCAGCAGTGCGCATCCATGATCCCGCTCGCGGGATTCGAACCCAGGGCCTTCGGTCTCGCGCGCGAACGCTTAACCAACTAGACCACTGAGCCGGCATCCAATGGTGATAGATTCTAACATCAACCAATCCACGAAATTGCGCGACCAAATCCCGTTGTGCTGAGGTAGATACCTGTCTCTACCCGACAAGGATTAGCTCTACTGATCACGGCTTCTCATTAAAACTCCGAGAATTCCCTCACGAAGCTAGTCACTCGTGAGCACATGTTGATTACTAGTATAGGGGTTGTGGAGATTATTAAGTTTTTGATCGAGATCATGAACTGAATTTATAAACGCAGTTCTGTGTGGACATGAAAGGGATTTTTTCTTTTAAGCGAGCTAAAATATTTCAAAGTGTGTTCGTCGTTTTGTAATATACTTTAATTCTGTGTTGTTTTAAGATTTTTTTGGAGTTCTTCTGTTGTGCCATGACGGTATTGTAAAACTGCAGTACCAATCCATGGCATTTCATCCGAATTATTATTATTATTACGCACAAGTATACGAATGTCAAACTTATGAAGAGCTTGATACTATCCAGAGAATTGCATTAGGAGCATGTATATGACTGGATTATCGTAGAAATTATACTATTGTTATTACATTAAATATAGCTTATTTAAGTGTTATGATAATTAAGTAATCCAGAGTACTTCCAAACATCCCATGATATTTATATAAAGTCGGGAAAACACGTGGCGGTCAGTTAAATGTTCATGTACTGTCCAAGGCTTATTAACTTTTACATGTATTATATTTTGCGCATATTAATTTTCAGGGAATTTAGTTACACGGAAGTTATTTGCTATCTTTTTGTCGATGTGCTTGATTTCTACACTTAAAATACACTTCAGGTATTTCGGAATAATCAAGGACTGTTTTTATTTTCCACTCCACATGATGAACTCATTCTATACATGCATCCTTTTAGTCCCATAAAATTGAGCTACATTTGAGTAACGAGACTCACTAGATGCTGTTAACTAAGTTTTCCATGCATACTCAGTCCTATAAATCCATGTCAATTGGCAATTGCGATTCGGAGTGTGCTTAAGAAATATATTCAAATGCCTAATTAGGATGTAAGAGTATATGGTGTTATGAAAATCCGCGTGGTGTAAAATATAGGTGTTAAGGCAGACAAGCCCGTTTTGTTTACCATACTTTAATATCTAGAATTTTCATTACTTTGTAGCAATGATCTTAAAATGCCGAATTTTTCGTACACTAATAAATTGTGATGACTCACTCCTCGAAATTGTTTTATAAACGTTTTCGAGCTTATGGCTAGTAGGGGAAAAATAATTGTGTTTTAATCACCATACCGTCCATGTATCTTCCCTATCATATCACTAATTTTGCATCGTACAGTTAAGTCAAAGTGATTGTGCCTTAATGTTGTAATTAATCATAAGTTCCAATTAAGTTTTAGTTTAGTTGAGGGTGTAACATTTCCGAGTAATGACTCGTTTAGTCACAAACAACGTACAATAATGTTATTGTTTCTTTTAAAAGCAGATTATAGTGATTTTTCCAAGTCTTAGCATAACGATATGCACATTTAGACTTAGTTTTCACTAATGAAGTGGCAATAAATGTAATTTGCGAACGTGCTCCATTTATAGTCCTGATCATTGTATTATTCGTGTTTTGCCTAGTGTATGTTTATGGCAAGCCTGGAAATAGTACACTCTTAAATCAGACAAGTTAAATACAAGAATCGCTCAGAAGAAAGTATCCAAGATCTGAATAACATGCTCTGCGCGACAAACTGCAATTTACCTACAAATGACCCATCGAAAATAAAGATGTTGTTACTTGTTATCTTAAATTCTGTTTTTATGTTTGTTATCACAGTGAAACTATTTTGTAAGATTTTGTCGACTGGCTTCCCCATAATTAAAACGGTGACGCAAGGAAAGAGAAAGAATGTACAGGGAGAAAAGCTACACTGAATTTTAAAAGCCAAATGGTCCTATAAACCAAGAAATTAAGGGTCTGAATTCGATTTTTACTAAGAAACTTTTATCTTGTAAAATCTGTCCAAATGGGTGGGGATTATTTAAAGAGATTAAAGGTGGGAGACGCATTAGCAACGATACCCAGCTGATTGTTTGTGACTGAAATAAGTTTTTTTGTACTTTAATCATCTGCTGTCAAGCTTCCTACATCCAAAATTTTGAAGGATATTTTTGTCCTAATTGTTACTTAAACTGATGTCTGTAAATGTTTGCAGTCACTTAACTCTTCCCAATGTTTAGGGCCAGACGAAATGCCAAACCTACTTTTTAAGAAGTCTGCTGATGTTCTTTGTTATCCATTCACAACTGCCTTTAACGAATCGTTCTCAACTAGTTTTATACCGTTAATGTGGAGAAAGATAAATATAATCGCAATGCCAAAGGAAGTAACTGGCGATAAGAATTGTAACTTATGTCAATAACGTTTTCTCTTCTTAAAACAATGGAGAAACTATAGTCACTTCCACTTCAACATGAATTAGAAGAGCATATCGACCCATGTCGGTTTGCTTACAAACGCAAAAGAACTATATAAGATGCTGTTGTTATTCTGCGTCAGAATATGGTGTTCATTTTGGGAAAGAGTATGAATTATCTTTGATGCTCATTTGTGGACTAAACTTCTGCCCTTGACTCTTTTTCAAGACCATCACTACTCAGCAAGTTCACCAACACCGACAACTGGATAACCGACTGGCTATGTTCTTACCTCTCTAGAAGAGAAGAGTATACTGTACTTGGAAGAAGGTTTCCGACGTTTTTACTGAGTCAAGGTGTGGTACACGGAACTGTTATTTTCCTTTCTCTTTTCTCCTTTTTCTGCATGGTTTGGTATCTACAGAGAACACTTTCGTTAAGTATGCCGATGGTCTCACTGCATGTACACCGATTTATTCCTCTTATGCCCTTGAAATGAATGAATTCTTGTTGCTCATTGAACGATAGTCTGTTGCTAATGCTATTACACTTAATCCTTCTGAATGTCAAAGTGTTAATTTTAGCCTGAGACGTGAAGAGCACCTGTATGCCCTGTTGGAATCCCATTAATTCTGTAGTATTGGAGATTCTGATATGATGAGAAGAAAAATCAATTTTCTATTGATTTACTCATTATGAGTTTTGTTCAACATTACTTCCCTTCTAATTCAATGTGATGATCATTAACTGTTGTATTTGTTTACTTTTGTCGCATGGTATTTCATTCTTCATAATATACGATATTCTTGTATTCCATTGACATGAACTATACTCAGTCTGTGATTTGTTATAACTGAGTATGTGATTTAATCCTAATTATTATTCAAAATGGGTGTAAAATCAATATATAAACCAGTGTATTTTAGACTATTTTGATCATCGTTCGTCGTCGTGTTTTAGGGCTAATAAATCTTCACTTATACCAGTACTGTGTTCTTACTTTCGCATCGTGGGAATTGCAGAGGTCCCTCGTTCCGAGTATAAGTGATCAGCGGCTTTTTCTGGCACAACAATTGCGACGACCCGAACACAACAGATTCTTAATAAAAACAGTCCTAAAGGCTGCTAATCTTGGTATACGTTTTTCTTTGGCTGTCCCATGTTTTATTGGTATAAAGAAAGTTTTCTTTTTGACTTA